CCCTCTTTGCTAAGTGCCACCTGGTTATCTTACTAGGTTTTAGGTCAAAAATCACTTCCTCACAGAAGCTTTCCCTGTACCCCAGATTGGGCTAAATCTTTAAAAATATTCTTACTCCTCTCTTTCTCAGCACCTGTCATAACTCTGGTGCTATTTATTTGAATAATGACTGACTTTGAGATTTGAGTGTTTATTATTGTCCGTCTCCCCCACTAGACTAAGTTTCAGTCTAATTTTATCTGAGCTGAACCCTGACCAGAATGACACACCATCTGTTAGGACTTCCTCTGAAAGTGCAGCCCAAGTTAAAACTCCTCCCATCAAAAGGTGGGATGTGTCCCCTCTCCTTGAAGCTGGACTCTGCGGCTTATTTACCAATAGAAAGCAGCAGAAAGGACACGATGCGGCTTTTGGGGGGGCCCAGGACTTAAGAAACTGGCATCTTCCATTTCCTGCCACTTTGGATACTTTCTCTTGAACCCAGTCAACATGCTAGGAGAAAGCCCAAGCAGCCAATGGAGAGGAGCAAGACCCTCAGCCTCAGATGAGCTCCCAACTGACAGCACCAATTTGCCAATTATGTGAGGGAGCCGTGAATCGTGGTGGTGGAACTTCTAGCCTCCCTCTCTCTCCCAACGGCTGATACTACATGGAGCAGAGCTGAGCTGTCACTATTGAACTCTGCCCAAATTGACGATTCCTGAGCAAAATAAATTTTTTAAGGTATAAATGTAGGGTGGTGTGTTATACAGCAATAGATAACCAGGAAATCAACCAGGATGACAACACTATGCAGAAAGCCACCCTTCCTGGGGCAGGATCACAGAGCTGTTTGTGGTGTGATGTCATCTTGAGCCCCACTGAGCCCTGGTTGGCCAGGAGCTCATAGTGTTCGGTGACATAGAGAGTGGGGGTCTGTGGCAGTCCCCAGCCAAGCTGACCATCCTGCAGTCAATGCTGGTGCGCGGGGTGCAGACCTGGGTCCAGTGTTCTCTCTTGCTCAGGGAACTGGCTGCTGGAGCCTACTGTGCTCCAGGATTTTGGCCTAAGTGTACAAGGCAATCTGTTCCAGCTGGTGGAGGTAAATGGTGAGTGGCAAGAGATACCAAGTAGCACCTCATGAAAAACCCTACAGAAGGAACACAGTTCAAAGGGAAGATTCCAGGATCCCTGCCCCAGAGGAATGTGCAGCTTTGTTCAGGGTGATTCAGGTGAACATTCACATCTGATAAAGTTACAAGAAGGCTCTGTGCTGAGGCACAGAACCTATATATACAGCATCCTCTAGGCCAGTGGTTCTCAACCTTCTGGCCCTTTAAATACAGTTCCTCATGTTGTGACCCAACCATAAAATTATTTTCGTTGCTACTTCATAACTGTAATGTTGCTACTGTTATGAATCGTAATGTAAATATCTGATATGCAGGATGGTCTTAGGCGACCCCCATGAAAGGGTTGTTCGACCCCCAAAGGGGTCGCGACCCACAGGTTGAGAACCACTGCTCTAGTTCCACGCTGTTTAATACAGTAGCTACCAGCCATATAAGGCTATTTAAATGTAAATTTCACTAATTAATTTTTTTTAATTTAAAAAGTAATTCCTCAGTCACATGAGCCATATTTCAAGGGTTGAATAGCCCACCTGTGGCCTGCGGCTGCAGTACTGGACAGTGCAGATGAACATTTCCATCATAGAAGTCCTATTGAACTGTACTGCTCTGGGCCCTTTTCAGATCGGCCCACAGAAATAGCTTTGCCCTCAAGGATATGAGAACAGACATGAAAAAGAAGGAAAGGCCCCTTTCCCCAGCTGCTGGTAAGGTGCTCGCTTCAGTTCTTCTGAGGAAGCTAAGGCCGCTTTGGGGTGAGGCCCTCACTTCACCGGCAGCGCTCGCTCAGCACTCACCCTCACCATGGCCTCTGTCTTGTAGCTCACCTGCATCTACTCGGCCCTGATCCTGCACGACAACGATGACTGAGGATAATAAGATCAATGCCCTCATTAAAGCAGCTGGTGTAAATGGTGAGCCTTTCTGGCCAGGCTTGTTTGCAAAGGCTCTGGCCAATGTTAACATTGGGAGTCTCATCTGCAATGTAGGGGCTGGGGGACCTGCCTGCTGCCCCCTCCACTGCTGCTGCCCCAGCTGAGGAGAAGAACGTGGGAACCCTCCACCGCTGCTGCCCCAGCTGAGGAGAAGAAAGTGGAAGCAAAGAAAGAAGAACCTGAAGAGTCTGATGACGACATGGGCTTTGGTCTTTTTGACTAAACTGGCTCTTTTGTAACAGACGATAAAAGCTGACCTCTGTTTAAAAAAAAAAAAAAAAAAGAAAGAAAAAAAAGAAGGAAAAGTAAAACAAGGGTATCACACCCTGGCCGGGTAGCTCAGTGGGTTAGAGCATCCTCCCAATACACAAAGGTTGGGGGTTTGATTCCCAGTCAGGGAACATACAAGAATAGTTCAATCCCTGGTCAGGGCATGTACAGGAGGCAATCCACTGATGTGTCTCTCGGTGGGACAACAAATTAATGTCTCTCTCTCTCCCTTCCTCTCTCCCTCTCAATAAATAAATAAATAA